TCTTTCCCTACACGACGCTCTTCCGATCTATCCGGATTATAAAATATATCCGGATTATAAAATATATCTAGATTATAAAATATATCTGAATTATAAAATATATCCAGATTATAAAATATATCCAGATTATAAAATATATTCGGATTATAAAATATATCTGGATTATAAAATATATCCAGATTATAAAATATATACAGATTATAAATATATCTGGATTAATCCGAATATATTTATATCTGGATTTAAATAGATTAATTTAGATTTATTTTTTATATAATATTTATATCCGGATTAGAAAAATTAGCTAGGTTTTAACTCTAATTCGAATAATGAATAAGAAGCTCTAGTCAGGCTATAAATATTGATCAGAATTTTAAAATATTGATAACATGCCTTCTAGTATTTTTTGTATTGTAGTATTTAAATAATTTGAGAAATGGAGAAAATTTGAAAAGAATATATAAGAATTTGAATTTTGAATTTAAATACATAGATTAATAAAATAATCTTTATACTTACTAAATTGGTTATAAATATAAATAGACTAAGTTATTATTGAGAAGTGAATCTATAAGAATTTGTATTTTATTAAACTATATTTTATTTGCCAATACAGTCAGTTGGAATAATAAGTCATTTTGTTAGAAAAATTCTACTAGAAGAATTTACATTTTGCATCACTTTAACTATTTTAAATTTTACAGTATAATAATTAAGTACTCAGATAATTTATAAAAGTAATACATTATTCATCATTTGAAGATAATTTTATACCAGTTTGATTAAGTTCTAATTTATTTACATAGTTGCATCGACTTGCTGAGGGAATAGTTAATTAAAAGGTAAGTTAATCAAGCTTTTTAATTTTTGTCAAAACATCTTTACTATAGGATAGTTTTTTTTGATTATGAACTGTGATCAGATATTTGATGTCGATTTTTAAACTTTTGGCAACAAAGCTTTCAAGAGACTTAAGCAAGGATGGAAATTTTTTAAATTCTGAAAATCACAAGTATTAAGGTATTTGATAAGTTTTTGTCACCAGACTTTACTAGCAACAAACTTCTCGATATTTTCATCAGTTGGATCACTATAGAAAGAATAGTTATGAATAGTTTAGATTATATTGTATATTAAAATTTATTCTGTATTATTAATGAATTTACCAATTTTTAACTAGCAAGTCCTTGGCAAGAGAGGCTATATCCTTATTAAATGTATGCTGAAATTATCAAAGTATTCACGTATTTTTCTGAACAATTGTTTAAATTCTTTAGATATGGAATCCATCAATAGTGCAATCTTCTTAATAAGTATTTCGCATATCTTCTTAGTAGAATTTTGTATACACAAAAATAGAAGTTTGTATTGTTCTATAACTAAATTTATTATTAGTTCTTTGTCCATTAGTTCTAAAATACTACTTTCATTATTCTTGTAAATATTAATAACTGTATTAGAAAAAAACTAAATTGAATATGTATTACTAGATTCAACTAGAGAACTAACCTTATATGGTAATGATACTGAATTTTGTACTTTGGTAATCAAATCCGGTCAGGTATATAACCAATTAATTAATAAATTCTCATCAGAAAAATTTAATTCTCCTGAATTATCAGTAAAATCAAGTACCTGAGTAGCTGTATGTTGAAATTGTAAATTACTAGTAATATCAGATTCCTAAGTAGCCATATTAGTATGTTGAAATTGTAAATTACTATTAATATTAGGTTTCTGAGTAGCTATATTAGTATGTTGAAATTGTAAATTACTAGTAATATCAAGTTACTGAGTAGCTATATCATGTGGTAAATTTGAGGTATGAAATTGTGAATTTGGGTTTGAAATTTTTTCTTTATATTTACTATGAGAATTTTGTTGATATAAAGATTCTTGACTTCGATTAGTTAGATCATAACTTGCTGAAGAATATAAATCCAATATATCATCTAATGACATAGTAGATAATTGCGATGAACTTCTATGTTGTTGTTCTGGTCTAATAAGATTTCTAGACATCATGGATTTATGTTCAGAGTTATTAATTTGATTTGAATTAGTGTTTGCATTATGAAATAATATTGAAGCTTGAAATCTATTTGTGCTTTCACTTGATAGATAAGTATTAGAAAAGTTGGATTGAATTAAGGTATTAGATGGAGTATAATCTCGATTATAGATTAATACTAGGTCAATAGCATACGATGATCTTAGCTGCTTCAAACTAGTTGGCGCATAACTATAAGCAAAGTCTTGATATGGCTGAACTACATTACTAGTTGACATAGTATTCAAATTAATCAGTTCAAATAGAATACAAGAAAGTTCACCACATTTTTCTAAAAAAATTCATAAGATTTTGTAAAAAAAAAAAAAAAAAACAAAAAAAAAAACTGGATATAAATGAACACAAAAAATCAGATACATTTGAACCTAATTTGGTCTGTTTAATTTTAGTGTTTGTTTAATTTTTCCCCTCTCTCCTCAAACAAATATGAAAAAAAGAATATTAAACAAATCTTTAAATTCAAATAGCCTAATTATAGTAGTATGAAGTAAATCATGCAGTAAATTATAATTCTGTGATTTAACAAAAAATGAATTCATTTTTTATTATATTTAATAATAAACTAAAATAATTAATATACAGATACTAAACAAGCTATGTATATACATACTAGGAATGGATATTATCCTGCTTACCCAAACTCAGTTCATCTCTGTTCGAAATCTGAACAGGTTTAACTCGAGTTTTCGATTATGTGAATTTAATTATGTAAAAGTAATCACATTGTGCTTGATTAAGTTCGAAATCAATTTTAAGAGCAAAAAGTTTCAATTAAACTTTTAAATAAAATAATTACATTTGTTTTTTAAAAAAATTTAAATCAAATTTTTAATACGGTAAATAGAGAGTTTCAAATTAACATACTTGAAAAGCATTGTTTATAGTACATGTATACAAACAAATTTAAAGCAGTTTAAAGCTCAATGTTTATATCTGTTTCTGAACAGTGTTAGTTCAAGTTTTAAAGTATGAATAACCAATTTAAGCAGGATAATATCCCTAGTATGTACATATGTACAGTGTTATATATTTTGGCATGTCTAAAGCTTTTTTGCATATGTCCAATGTTCAAATATCCAAGTGTCCAAGATGTCCAAGCTGTCTATAGCCTTAAATATTTTTGGTAATTAAAATAAAAATTATATAATTATATTCCCTGTTTAATTCTAAACATTTTTGCTTAATAAGTTTAAATAGGTTATCTTAATAAAATTTTGAGTAATTTCAGTTTATTTTTTTATCCAAATATCTAAGATATATTCAAAGACTGTCCAATGACAATACTGTGTACATACATACGTAAGTTCATATACATATTATTTTATAATATGACATATATCATATTTGCAGCAACAATACAGCAAGTATTATTATATGCAGTAACATATTTCTGAGTTGTAATTGTTAGAGTGTGCTAGCACTACTATTACGCTAAAAAAAATTCACTAATTATAATATAATCAGAGATTATATATTATACTTTAAATTAATAAATATAAAATTTATATATTATTTTAAAGTTGATTATTTATTATTTCTTAA